TGGCATATGTGGCTGCATACAGGGAATATTAAACTAGAACTGTCCTCATAACCATCTTCACCAGCACATGACAAGAATGAAGAAAACTAGTGCAGTGGGAAGTGATGGCCTCCACCTTCTTACCACCTTTGGAAGTAACCACATGATTAGGGGCTCAGAAAATTACATTCATTGTGGATACAGGGGCTGCTGTATCAATTATTCCAAAGGAATACCTGACAAATACAGTCCTACAAATATCTCACTGGTTTCTGTTAACAATGCGAAAATAGAGTGCTCCAGACAGACTCTGCAAAACTTGGCAATAAAAATCCTTGGGAGAAACATTTATTTATTGTGACTAACACTATGGAACCACTTTTGGGATATGATTTCCTAAGTCACTATGGGCTAACAGTGGATCAACACAATTACCAATAGGCAAAGTGACGCCAAGCTGTTAACTTGTTTTTTTACACATTTCAATCCATAAAGATGAAAATGTAAAAGGGAACCTTACAAAAAATTCTGGAAAGCTACCCCCAATCTAATATCCACCACCCATCAGGACCCTAACACAAAAAAATCAAAAGCATTTCACAGAATTGAAACCAGGAGCAATCCTCCTGTATTTAGGAAAGGGAAACAGATGTCAAAGCAGAAGTTTGATATAGCCAAAGAAGTATTTGAACAGCTTTAACAAACTGTCATAATTTCCCCTTCCAAGTTGGAGTGGAATTCAGTACTGCACATGGTGCCAAAATCAGATGGCATGTACATTGCTGTGGCAACTACAGCTAAATAGCATTATGAAACTGGACCGCTACACTATACCAATTCACTAGCTAAATTACACCAAAGACCACTACACTACCAATTCACTAGCAATGAAATTACATGAAAAAAAATATATTTTCAAAAATTGATCTGTCCTCGGTATATCACCAGATACCAGTTCATCCTGATGATGCATGTAAAACTATCTTGACAGAACAAAGTTTATTGCAATATAACTACATGCCTTTTGGGCTGCAGAATGTCACAAGTACCTTCCAAAGGATGACTGATGACATTTTCCAGGACTTTGAGTGTACATTTGTGTACATTGATTATATTCTAAGATATTCTGATGATGGGGATTCTTATTCAAAACGTCTGGATGTAGTCTTTTGAAAGCTAAGGAAGTACAATCTTAAAATTTTAATTTCAAAATGGATTTTCAGTGCTACAGATCTTGATTTCAAAGGAAGAAATTAAACCTTTGCACTAATAAACTTCTGGACCTCAACACATTTTCTCCTCCTCCCAATAATTCAAAAACATTGATTTATCAGAATGGTCAATTTTTACAGACAATTAATACCAAAGTTTAGTGATTTAATCTTTCCATTCGCAGAATGTATCCATTTGAATCTTTATGTGAAAAAACTGATTTTAATAGTGAAAGAATTCCACGAAGAATTCATTATTGAGTGTAACAGTAATTTGTTTTAATTTATAACTAATTATTTGTTATGATGTTAATTTGGAGTTAATAAAGACAAACGCCAAATAACATGTAACAATAAAATGGGGTTTATTCGGTTGGTAAGTTGGTACAGAAATCACCTGAGTAGTCTATAACTAACTCAGCCCAGAACTTCTCCCACTGTCTTTTGACATGCCACTATTTAACGTCCTTGTTTGTAGACTAGTTCATCTTCAAGAGGGGTGGTAGGTTCCTACACAACACCTCCCCCTTGAGGTTAATTCTGGAGGAATTAATATTTTTTTCTTTTGGGATCTGGACTTAAACGTTCCACCCTCGTTCTTTTTCTTTTGCTTGTCCTTCTTTGAACAACTGTTTCAGGCAATGGTGGAGTCGGTATATCAAATAATTCATACCTCCATTGGTTCTTCATTTTCTTCACTTATTTCTTCGATGATTCTTTTCCTTAATTGGTTCAAATGTCTTTTGTGCATCCATTTTTTGCTTGGAGATAGGCATCCGATAAATCCAATTTAGCTAATATTTTTCCTCCACTTAAACTTGCAAAATGTCTTCTGGTGAAAGGCAAAGATATGTGTGGTCTTTTAAGCAATCATTTAGACCCGTAGAAAAAATCGGCACACATCCAAATTTTATTTTTTTTTAACATATACAACAGGGCAGGGCCCACTCTGAAAATTCAATGCGTGAAATAACTCCTAAATTTTCAAGCCGTTCCAATTCCTTGTCAGTCTGTTCCAAAACACCAAATGGCACATTTCTTTTTCGCTGAAAATTGGTTTTACATTTTCCTTCACTTCAAATTTTGCCTTTTCGCTTTTTGCAACATCCAAGACCTTCTGAAAATACTTGTGGAAATTTTATTTTCAGATCTTTCAAATTTTCTGTAACCCGATTTTTTACACGGAGAAGAAACATTAATTCTATTGCAAAAAGAATTTATAGGAGTTTCCATAAATTAAAAGTATAATCCAATCTGTTCCAAAACAAATTTGAAGCATTTTGTAGCACATACACTTTAGACTTTAGTGTCTTACCAACAAATGAAATATTACAAGAAAATTCACCTTGAAAATGCAATTTTCTTCCAGAAATCCTAAGAGCCACTTTTCAGTCTTTTTAAGCAAAGGTCTGCCTATTTTAATCCATGTTGCTATATTAATAATGGAAATATCACTTCCAGTATCTAGCTGTAGTTTAACATTTTTCCATTAATTTTTACTTGTAATGAATTTTCTTTTCTGCCCTCCTCAATCTCCTGACGTGACAACACAATATTCACAATATCTTTTTTCGACTTAATTTTTTTTCTTTTGCAATGAGTACTTATATGGCCTTTATTGCCACACGAATAGCAATTTTTGTCGCAAAAAAAACATTCACTTTTAAAATGACCACCACTGCATCCAAAGCACGTTGGTTTTTTAACGTTTTTATTAACTATTCCCATTTTTGGTCGAATAGCATGGACACGGGATATGTCTTTTTCTTCAATTTGCGTATTGTCATGTTTTAAGTTTTCAATTCTTTGACATTCTTCCGTAACCTTCTGCAAAGTAATCTCAGAATTTTGTTCAAGTTTTGCCAATATTCGGGACCTTATGTCCTTATCTTTGCTAGAAGTCAAGCCTTGAACGAATATCAAATATTTAAATCGATCAATTGAAAGATCATGTAACATAAAATGTTCACACATTCTGTTAACATTTCCAGCATACGTAACAACATCCTCATCGTCACGCTTTACCATATTCAAACACGAGAAACGAGTATGAAACAAACTAACTCACTCTCCAAAAATACTAGATAAAGTATTAACAGTTTCTTCGAAAGAAATGTCACTAGTTTTTCTTGGAAGGACAAAATTCGTATACTTATTATTTTCATCTGTACCCAACTTTTGTAAAAGTAAACTCACTTTTTGTTCATCAGTCCAACCTTCACATTTTTTCAAATATTGTTTCAAATCTTCTGAAATACGCAGGAAATGTTATGCCCTCCTCTGGGTTAAATTTGAACTCAGTAATAGAATTAGCAATACCTTCGGCCGTGAATGACGAATTTACTGGATTCTTTAGTAAAATTGCTTCAAATAAAGCCTTTGTGTCATTTCGCTGCTGAACTTGTAAATCCAATAGTTGTTCCCGAAACAATTTTTGTTGCTCTTGTTGCAATCTTTGTTGCTGAATTTGATTTTGCACTAGAGTTTTCGTTAATGCAATCAAATCTTCCATTATGCGTAATAGATTACACAAAACACTTTTTGAAAGCAGTCAAAAAGGAAAAAACACGTATATATCCAGCAATAAGCACAAGTCTTACTTTTTTTGCACGTTGAAATCCTATTTCTTCTTGAAGAACAAAGTTTCGACGTATTGTTTTTTTTTCTTTCTTTCAGTGCGAGAAAAAAAAAAATTATATAGTCCACCTAGAGTTGAAAAATTCTCCACTCAGCGTGATGAATGAATCTCTCGTCGCCACTGTTATGATGTTAATTTGGGGTTAATAAAGACAAACGCCAAATAACATGTAACAATAAAATGGGGTTTATTCGGTTGGTAAGTTGGTACAGAAATCGCCTGAGTAGTCTATAAGTAACTCAGCCCAGAACTTCTCCCACTGTCATTTGACATGCCACTATTTAACGTCCTTGTTTGTAGACGAGTTCATCTTCAAGAGGGGTGGTAGGTTCCTACACAACATTATTAAATTAATAAACTGAAGCAGATTTTAATAAGACTTCAATAGAATGCCAGGGTCAGTTGGAATTCAATAAACATTCTGTAAATAAAAAAGCAAGAAAAAGTAAAAGCATGCACCAAAATCCTGAAATTCCAACCCTGGCTAGCAGGATTCCTCGTTGGTTGAGAACTCTCATTCTAGTCTAAATAGATTAATGTATAACACGTAAAATATAATAAAATAACATATAAAATATATGCTGATATAGATAGATGTTTGGTTAAATCAGGCTTTGCTGATGAAACATCCAAAGAGTTTGTAAGCAATGACTTGTGAGATAAGCTGATTCTAGCACCTCCACAGTTAGATGACTCTGATTGCAAATCATTAATCCTACTTAAGTCTGTACTGATTGTACATACAATGTCTGTTTGAAAAGTACCAGGACTGGGTGTGCTGTGTGGACAGATTGTGTTATCTAGCTTGATATCTTGGGAGTATATAACTGTAATCTTAGCATTTGCTTCACTCAGTGCATAAGAAGAGACAAGAGTTGTGACAGGACAAATTGTGGCTGCTTCACTCAAAGCTCAAGAGGATCATCAAGGGGACCTGTTTTGAAGGCAGGGAGGCCATCAAGAGGACCATAATGACAGAGATGAGGGGCATCCAAGAAGAATCCTTCCAGCAGTGTATTAGACTTGAGGGGGATTACTATGAAGGGGAAACCATGTAGTTTGTTGTTTAGAATTAAAATAAATTGTTTGTGACACCAGTTCTGTTATTTTTCAGACAGACCTTGATATATGTTTTTTCTCTTTTTTCACTTTTATTTTGTTTTATTTTTTAGGTTCGAGTGGTTGATTGTTACCTCTTAGAAGGAGTTAAGGTGCTGCACAGAGTGGCTATAGCAATGCTTATCTTATTTTCAAAACATGCAGGTAAGAAGTTGTTTATATATAATTAATGAAACTCTAGAAAAAAAGAGTTGACTGTAGTTGGGATCATCTAGTGAATGCAATTGTTCCTTTCCTTAGCTGCATAGTATGTGCTTCACCAGGGCTACATACAGTTTTAAATTCAGAGTTTTCCTTCTCCTAGGTTGGTTGCCATCCAAGGCTATAGAACCTAGTCTGTCCTGCTATTTACCCGTAACTGGTGGTGGTGGTGGAAAGAGTTGGATTCATGCCTTTCCTAGGGATATTTGCATATAAGTGAATGGAATGAACTCAACTGGAATACATTACATTCAATTACATTGTATGACTTTAACTCTTCTCCCCACCTAGCTAAGAAAACAACAAAAGCAGAAAAACAAAAACAACAACAGAGGCTAAACCATCAGAGAATATGTGGTGGAGACATACCTAATTGAAGCAAGAGAAGGTGAATTGCCTGTACATGTGCTTGTAGACATCATAGACATGTGAGGCGAACTACAGCAAATCAATATTGAAGTGACACATCACAGGCTTTATTGGTGAGAATGAGGCTAACACCAGTGAGAGATCTCAGTTTCTTGGCCGAGACCGAGAAAGGATAAGAAGAGCTGACTTTTTGTTTTAGGGCTGTTTTGTTCTTTGAGACTAATAAAGGTTATACCTGTGTTCCAGAGAAAGAGTGATAGTACTGTTGTTTACGGTGTGCAGGAAACAAAATCCTGAAGTACTTTCAATCTCACCCGAGATCATTCTCAGGAGTGAATTACAAAGATAGGTTTTTCTTTCACAATGACTATCACAGATGTTATGTTTATGCTCTGGTTGAAAATTATCTAGGATTGAGGTCATGACCTACTTTCGTTTTTAAGATTGTGCGATCATCTTGACTTTTCTTCAAACACCTTTCAAACTGAACCATCAATAATACAGCAAAATTGTTACTTGCAACTCAGCGTTGTTATAGAATTGAGGATGAATCTTCTATCTGACCGCAAAAGCTATTTGAATCAACCAGATAGTCCTTCATGATACTCTATTTTGAAAAATTTGTTCAAAAAGTTTAAAGAACAAATTCAAACTGTTATTGGATTGAAGTCAAAGTTCTACTTTGGACAACATAACTTTGAATCAAATTAAGCAATTAGAATTAACCCAATTTTGCCAAATAGTGAATGGTCAGGAGGATCTTTTTTTGGGGGGGGAATAGATTGATTGTTTGCCCTTTTTTATGGCTTATCAACCTTTTGCATGACAATGTTTTAGATTGTAAGAATTTTTTTAAGGTAATGATTTACTGAAACAAGTTCTACTATTTAACCCATAGCTGTGGAAAGAAGAGATGGATTCATACCATTCCCATGGGTATATGTGCATGAGTGAATATAATGAACCTGACTGGAATTAGAACTTGGCTCTCCAATTTCATGCCAGACAATATTTCTCTCCAGAATCTACCTTACATATATATAAGTATACCATTTGTCCATGCTTAGAATATTGTTGCCACATATCGTCTGTTGCTCCTGCTATATATGTAGAGATCCTTGATAAAATCCAAAGAAGAATCTGCGATGTTATTGGTCCTGACTTGGCATCTCTGCTTCAGTCACTTACCCACAGCTGTAATGTGGCTTCTCTGTGCCTTTTCTATAACTACTTTTATGGTAATTGTTCAGATGAGCTCTTTGCTATGGTACCTAAACTTTATGAATTTAAGCGCAGTACTAGACTGGTGATGAGGTCTCATCAATTTACAGTTGAGTTGGCTAAATGCAACTTTTAAGTTTTATGTTAAGTTTCTTTTCTCGCACTTCTCACTTGTGGAACTCCCTTTCTGGCTCCATTGCTTTCCAGCCAACCTCCTGATTACTCTTCTTTTGTTCTCCTTCCTTAGTAATGTTTATAATTCTTCCACACCCAGTAACCCCTTGTGTCCCAGTGGCTTTACTTGCTTGTGGTGAAAGTGATTTAAAAGAAAAAACCTTTTACAGGTTATTTAAAGGCAGAAAATATTTTTAAATTGTAAGAAATTTTTTTGAAATAATGATTTATTGATATAAGTTCTACTAATTAACCCACAGATAGGGGAAGAAGAGACTGAATCATACTGTTCCCATAGGTATTTGCACTTAAGCAAATATAACGAACCCAATTGGAATTGGAACTCTCCTCTTTAATTCTGAGCCATTATACATTGCACCACCCACATATCCAATCTTGCTGTGCCTGGTATCCTCAGGTAGTCACTCATCTAGATACTGACCAGGTTCAACATTGCTTAACTTTGGTGATCGTATAAGAACTGGTGTTTCAATATGGTATGGCTTTAAGCCTTTTTGGGGTGAAGGTTAGGTTTTGTGACGGTTAAGTGGAGAGCAAAAGAAAGCCATGTTTCTGATTATCATACAGAAACCACTTTCCAGGAAGCACATGATCAAAATGATCAGTTTTGAAACGCTAAAGTAAATTTGCAGCATGTGCCAAACCATTCAAGCTGCTGATGATTAGTTAAGATCATAGGATAACTGCTTCTATTTCTTCCTTCCAACTGTTGTATGAACCACCTCTAGATTTACTCCCAATGTCTGAGTATTTGTTTCTGGATGAGCCTTCACAGTTTTTTTCCAATACCTTTTTGAATGACAGCTTTGAATCATGACCAAGACCTTTTTAGAGGTCCAGGTCACCAGAAGTAAATTATTGCAACCAATGATGCATGGTTCATTCTGAAGTTGACTAGTTTTCAAGTGCTGTTTGTGTTGCAAGTTATTTTTATAATGCAATGGCCATGTTTGTACTCGGTGGGGGAATATAAGGATACAAAAATCACATTTATTCATCTATGCCTCAATATCTTATGAAGAAATAAAAATAATCAGAAAATTCAAACAACACTCAAAAGTGTATATCATTTTAAATGCATCTTCGCTTTTGAGTGTTTTTTGAATTTTCTGATGTATCCATAAAAAATATGAAACAATACAAAAAGCCAACTGCACAAATGCCATATGAAGGTATCTTTTATTCTGTTCCAAATGAATATGCATAAAAAGGAAAACAAGATTATTGTTGGCTCATAATAAACAGTCATCATTATGCACATACCAATGAGGGAGCCCTACTTATAAAAATATATATTTTATTCTCAAGAAATTGAAATGATAATGTCTTGAAAATTCATTATAAAACACTAGTTCCCAATAACCTGTGTAGCAGAGTGCAATAAAACAAAACCTATTTTGTCAGAGCTTATGGCCATATCATGTTAAAACACCAATTCCCATATGGTCACTGAAGTTCAGCAATATTGAACCTGGTTGGATTCTGGATGAGTGACCATTTGGGAATATCAGGTGCTGCAAGCTTGGATGTGTGGTTAGTGCAATGGATAATGGCTCAAAATTGTTAATCGGGGAGCCAAGTTCCAATTTCTGTCAGGGTCATTATATTTACTTGCACACAAATACTCTTAGGGGAGGTATGAACCTACATCTTCTCCTTCCTTGGTATGGGTTAATTAGTAGGATGTATTACTAAATCATTTTTATCTCCTTATCTAAAAAAAACTTTCTGGCTTTAAATAACCTGCAAAGGTTGGTAAGCCACAGAAAATGAATCAGTCAATAAATATTTATAAAAGTTTACTTTTTAATAAATCAAGCACTTGTATCAACTTAAAAATTGTTTTAATCCATTTACTATTTAACTTTTGATTCTTTTAACATCTTATTTTTAGTTGCATTTCTCATGCAACCCCCAGATAATCCTTTCTCATGCAACCCCCAGATAATCCTTTCTCATGCAACCCCCAGATAATCCTTTCTCATGCAACCCCCAGATAATCCTTTCTCATGCAACCCCCAGATAATCCTTTCTCATGCAACCCCCAGATAATCCTTTCTCATGCAACCCCAGATAATCCTTTTCTCATGCAACCCCCAGATAATCCTTTCTCATGCAACCCCCAGATAATCCTTTCTCATGCAACCCCCAGATAATCCTTTCTCATGCAACCCCCAGATAATCCTTTCTCATGCAACCCCCAGATAATCCTTTCTCATGCAACCCCAGATAATCCTTTCTCATGCAACCCCCAGATAATCCTTTCTCATCATAATCCTTTCTCATGCAACCCCCAGATAATCCTTTTTTCTCATGCAACCCCAGATAATCCTTTCTCATGCAACTCCCAGATAATCCTTTCTCATTCATTAGGAAAGCAAAGTCTTTTGGCACCCCCACAAAAAAAAAAAATGAAAAACTTTGACGATTCAAACTCGTATTCCTTATCTATATTGGAGCCTATCTTACTGTTATAATGGAATGTCCCACATTCCCTACCGCATATGTGGACTGACTATATCAGTAGATATATAGAGTAAGCACAGGATGTACCTGGCGGACTTGCTTCGGGAATTAGTTGGAAATTTGTCCCCAGCTGTGCTGGTTGAACTCTGCCTTTGGGCAGGGAGGAACCCAGATGAGGCTATGCCGAAGAGCAGAGTCTCATCTGGGGTAGTAGAGAGCTACCCGATCCTGTGTATATACTTTATATATATATATATATATATATATATATATATATATATATATATATATATATATATATATATATAGAGAGAGAGAGAGAATTTTTGCCTGAACCTATGGGCTAGGTGTTGCCCCACATTAAAAAAAAAGGCCTTGTGCCACATCCTGCCTCACGAGGAGGTAAGGTAAATATCCTTGCTTTGGGAATTACTAGCCTGCTACCTGATTCCCTGTCTTTCAGTAGTGTATTCTCTTTAGCAATAAACCTCTCTTTCATATATGTGTGTGTTGCTGTTCCTTCACTTGAGTACCACCTTTGTCTATTTGTAACCTCTTTAAGGATACAACACTTACCATGACAGTGGCCATGCAGATTAGGCTACGAAGAATCAATTGCAGTCTAGCTTCCGTCATTCAAAATTAATCATAGAACTATATTATTTTATCAGTTTGCCTGATTCACTGCCATCTTTACATGAACTACCATATCTACTCATGTATAACCTGGCATTATGGGTAGTGTGTGACCCTTGAATTATAATATCTCCAGAAAAATTTACCTGTCATTGAAAATTCATGACTTTTAACCTCTTCAAAAAATTGCCTGTGTACAGTGCAATCTACTATTTTAGTATAAAAAAAAAGTAGCTGATCATAAAAACTTGCAAGTTTATACAGTAGTGGTATTAGTTGCTATAATAGTTGAAGTTTTTTAGATCACGCATTATTTTTTTTTTACTAGTATTACTTTCATTTGTTTTTATTGATTTCTTTTATTTTTTTGTAGTTAAGCAATCTCCACAAACTGGCCTTGCACCTCAAGCCAGTATTCAACAGTTTTGCCATAAGCTACCAGTTAGAGGTGATAAATTCATTAAGGTAAGTTGAGATTTTTCTCTGTCTTGAGATGAAGAATTATTATTGTTATTGCTGGTCTAGTGTTCTTATCTTGATTGTCACAGTTACACCATTGTATTCACTGGGCAACCTCAATGAATTTCAAACCAAACACTTTATTCAATCAATAACAATTCGTCTATGCATTGAATCAGTCAGTTATGTGCCATGCATGATACATGCTTAGGCAATCATGTATCTTTCAATACATGACTGGTAAGGCAGATTTTTTTTTCCCCACAGTAGGTTGGCATTTCTTTCTGTGGTAGACCAGTTGCCATCCAAGGTTATAGAACCCAGTCTGTCCTGCTATTTACCAATAGATGGGGAGAGAAGAGGTGGATTTATACCTTTCCCTAGGGTATTAGCATGTAAGTGAATGTAATGGATTTGACTGGAATTCAAACTCAGGTCTCCAATTCCTCAATCCAAGCGACTGTGCCTACCCATTGAATACTGTTGTCATATCTGGTCTGGTGTTCTGGGACAAAATCCAAAGGTTCTGTCATGTAATCAATCCTGATTTAGCATCTCGACTTCAGTCACTTTTTCACTGATGTGGTGTGACTTCCTTCTGTCTACAAATATTTTCATGTCACCTTCTCTGATGAGCTATTTTTCACTGATGCCTTGACTACATGAATTTAAGCCTGCTACTAGATTGGCATCTAGGTCCCACCCGTTTACTGTTGAAATAGTTAAATGCAATGTAATCGATCCTGACTCAGCATCTCAACTTCAGTCACTTTCTCACAGTCATAATGTGGCTTCCCTCTGTCTTTTCTACAGATATTTTCATGGCAAGTTTTTTCCCCTGGTGCCCTAACTACATGAATTTAAGCCTGCTACTAGATTGGCATCTAGGTCCCACCATTTTACTATTGAAATAGTTAAATGCAACTGCTGCTTCTACTCTAACAGTTTCTTTTCTCACACTTCCCACCTGTGGAACTCTCTTCCATTTACTTGATTCCCTAAAAATTTAAATGCAATGTCAATTTGAATCTATCTTGTTTAATCACATTCATCTTTTGTCTTTTCCTCAGTCCTCCCTATAGTCATTTTTTTTTCTCTTTCATTTCCCCTCCCTGTAGCTCCCCTGCATGCTACTAGCATTTCTACCTTTGCTTGAGGAGGAAATGATTAAAAAAAAAAATTCTCTCTTGTGTTAATGCTTAATTTTTATCCCAAACCAAAGTATATAAAATTTTGCATTTCCCAGCCTAGGAATTGAACTTGTGACTACTAGGTAATTTGAATTTCTTAATCAGTACTTTTACACACCAGAGAACAATTTTGGTGATGAGTACTTGGATTCTTGAAGTAAATGTCACTTGTCTGCCTCTGTAGCTGAACCAAAGTATATTACCTGTTGCGGATTTAGGTAGTGGAGTATTTAAATTTTAGACCTTATACTTTGGCATGGATTATAGTGGAATTAGAACTTGAATAAAGAGTTTGATTCACAATTCCTGGAAGGTTCCCAACTATGGCACACATCTGAAGAAAGCCAGAGAGTACATTGGTCAACATGTTCTGAAAATACAATACAAAGATTTGTCCAGATAAATTGGTGACTAGTAAGTTGAAATGTTTTGACTTTTCTTTTTACATAGATATTGTTTGCTGTTTTAGGATGAGTCAGAAAGATATAGCATTCATTGATGAATATGTGATAAAAACAATCAAGATGAGGATATTAGTTTGAATAACTCATGGAATAGTGATCTTTTTAATATTTTTTTTAATGTCATGTACCTTCAGAAGGTAGCGGATAATGGCTCTCCACAAATTCCTTTTCTTTATTATCTGCTAATTACTGTGATTTCTTAGGAAAAAAGACAGTGGAGTGGTTTTGAATTAAGATTAGTCCTTCTCATAATTTGGTTGCTGCCTAGTTTGCCATATTTTATTTACTGTATGTAAAGGAACATGTTTTTTTCTGAAAAGAGCCCTCAAAAGTCACCTTGCAGCTTACCCCTGAAAAGTCAAATTGTAGAGAGGAGTTCACAAACCCCAGTCACAATTATTATTCATATGTAACAAACACTGTATTTTTTTTTTTTAATCAGTCTCACCCCATGCAAGGAAGTAAAGGCACTAAGACGCAAGAGTGTGGAAGAATTAGGAGCAGAAACCTTAATAATTAGCGGGAAGAAGAAAGTGTAATCAGGAGAACAGTAGATGACAATTGACATTGCATTAAATTTTTGCAGATTAAAGTTGGCTGGAAAGCATGGAGCCAGGAGGGAGTTCCATGATTGAAATGTGTGAAAAAAGAAACTAGACAGCTCGACTGTAAATTGATCATATCTCAATGCTAGTCTAGTACTGCACTTAAATTCAAAAAGTCTAGGTACCATAGTGAAGAGCTCATCTGAACAATTACCATAAAAAGTGTTTATAGAAAAGGCAGAAGAAGGTAACCTTATGGTGGTGGGAAAGTGACTGGAGCCGAGCTGCCAGATCAGGACCAATAATATTGCTGATTCTTCTTTGGATCTTATGAAGGAGTTCAAGTTAAATAGCAGGAGTACTGGATCATGTGGCAGCAATATTCTAAGCATGGATGAATGCTAGACTTATAAATATATCACATAGATTCTGGAGAGAAAAATTATCTCAAATGACACAGTGAACCAACTTTCTTGGTATCTGAACTAGCAATGAATTCAATATAAATACCTTGTTAGTATCATACTGTATATATTGGTGTTTTTTTTTTTTTTAGCATTGATGATAACAAATAGGCAGTGTAAGTCTTTTGTTTATCTATATATATATATATATATATATATATATATATATGATAATTAGCAATTCACAATAATGACAAATTTACAAAAAGTAGATGAATGTTGAGAAAGAATAAAATGACAGCAGCTTTGAATTCTTCGGACTTGAGGGTGGGTAATATCAAATGATGTTATAATTTATTAGTTATTTGTACAGTATTGGTTTATGTTTCCATTATTGTTGGTATTTTTAATACAGTAAATTTGATCCAAGAGTTAATGATGATGATGATTTTCAAGTAAGGTTGGCACTGTTTACATTATTCGGACTATTGTCCTCATCTTTGTCGCCATATTTATTATGTTTTGGTCGTTGTATGCTCCGGCTTTCTTCAGGTGGTTGGAATGGTGAACTGAACCATTTATTTCGCTCACTGGGGTAGACTGTTCTAGTTTCATGTGCCATGTCTAATGGATGTTAGTTATCAGCAATCTCCTGTTAATTCCTCTCTCCAAGTTTTCCACTGTTTTAACCAGGTATTGAAATAACAACTCTTTTGGGTCCTGTCACTGGATCTAACTAACACCTTTATCCACTGTGCCATGTGTCCTCAACCACCTGAAGAAGGCCGGAGCATACAACAGCCGAAATGTTGTAATAAATATAGCAACAAAGATGAGGACAATAATCCAAATAATGTAAATAGTGTACATAATACCTCATCTCAGAAATATAGACAGATACTGAAGTAAGGTTTGGTTCAATAAATGGATCAGTCAAATCCCTAACCTCTTATTACTGCCTTTGTCCAAAGGTGCTAATAATTTTGGTCATTGTGGCTGTTTTGTACCACTTTTGTTAATTTTGTATTTCCTTTTTGAGATGAGGAATTGTCAATATACTTTAATTTATTTGAACTGTCATTCTCATATTGGCCATTATAGATACATTTCGTCCAAGTACCCCCTTGCCATCATCAAGTGTCCATTGTTTTGGGCTTATATGGTATATCTGTTGAGTATTGTGCTCATCTTGATTATTATAGACATTATTATAGACACACCATTTCAGCCAAGTTAAATAACAATAATACTTCATTTTAACTAAATAGTGGAAATCTGAAGATGGCAAAATGGTACTTGACTAAAATATATTTATCACTATTTCCATGGCAAATGTTCTGATGATCTATATACCTTAGTTCCACCAGTTCAAATCCATCCTTCCAATTTCCTCCTTATTCCATTAGAACTCAACTCTCAAAGTCCCTGGTCACCTCTGCTATGGCCAGGTATTGAACTCATAATTCTTTGGATCAAGTCATTGGATTACTTCAACCAATGCTTTTATCCTTTGAAAGTTGAGTTACTAAAAAGAAATGATTGAAACTGAGATATCCAGAAAAGGCATGGCATGTGGAACTAGAACAATTTACCTAGTGGATGAAATAAAAGGTTCAGTTGAAAATTCCAGTGTATATTATCTGAAGAAGGCTGGAGTGTACAACAGTTAAAATGTTGTGAATATGACAATGAGAACAGTTCAAACAATGTAAATAGTATAAAAAAATTTTAAACTGACCACTTTCAAATTTGATTTTATGAACTTCAAAATATTATGATGTGTCATTCATTTATCAAATTACATTCCCAATTTCATGATTTATATTCGATAAATTTTTTTTGAAATCTTTATTGAATATCTTAATTTGATATATTTCATTATTGTTTCCGTCAGATGGCATTTGGTATTCGTGGCCTTACAAGAAAAGAATTAAGAAAACTTAATGTGAAGAATGAAATGGTCATTAACAGTCGAACCAAGAATTTGACAACTTCTCCATCAAGTTGGTCTTTAGGAGGTGAAGCAAATGAAGGTCAAAGTACATCAAAAGCAGGCCCTGGCACTGTACTCCAATCAACATCCTCAGCTGCCCTCAATATGGAATTGGTAAGTTAATTATTGACTTTCTTTTTGGCACTAATTTGATTGGGTTTAACTTTAATCTACAAGATAATAATACTCTAAAGTTCAGGGAATTTGAAAAGATTCATTCAGGCTCTTTATTCATCAAATTATATGGTGTTTCTTGGCATTTGCTGTGTTCACATAACTCAATTAGCAAATAAAATGCTTTAATTTATAAAAATTTCTTTTCTTTGTGGAAGCCATTTTGTGAAATGAAATCCTTGAACTTATGGGTATCATCTTGTATATAAAAATAATTTTTATCACGTTTTGGCTGTTGTTTTCTCCGGCCTTCTTCAGGTGGTTGGAATGTCGAACTCAACTCTTTATTTTGCTTGTTGGGGTAGACTATTCTAGTTCCACGTGCCATGTCTAATGAATGTCAGTTATCAGTTATCTCCTGTTAATTCCCCTCTCCATGTTCTACTGCCTTAGCCAGGTATTGAATAGAACTTGGAGAGGGGAATTAACAGGAGATATTTTGGGATAAAGAAGAATAAATGGATTAAGTTGTTAATTAATAATTAATATATTTCTAAGTCTGATCCCTTTAGAAGCCTTTTCCATCCAAACTTTATGAATTGGTCGTTGCATTCCAGATATTAATTCGCCATTATTTTAAATTTCTAATTATCTTATATATAGATAAATGAAAGACTTACGTTACTGATGAGTAGCTGCCTACTCGTTATCATCAATATTAAAAAATAAACATATGATACTAACAAGATATACAGTATTCATTACATATGAATAATAATAATTGTTATTACATGTAAATATTTTCTAAGCTTAATCTGGCACAGGGACATAAAAATTGAGCACTCAGTGAGACATGAACTTACTGCTGCTTTGTTAATCTTTGCTTTATAATATTTTTAATGTATAGCAATTTCATTTGAAACTGTTTTTAATATGATTATGGGTGGTGGATATATTAATGCGAGGGTGCTGAAAATGTCTTGGCGTGACGCACTTCCCAAAATCAATATTCTGATATTTGGTGAGTGAAATGCTCATTTTTGGGTGGGTCAGTTCAAGAACTTTACAGCACCCTGTCATGTCAAGTTTTTCATTGCATTTAAAAAAGCTCAAAAATATTATTGTTTGAACATTATTATAAGAACAGAAAAAAATGCATTTTCATTCATTGTTTTTTTTTATATATTGTTGTACTATCAATATAAAAATAATATGTGATTTGTCCCATAATGATTGATACATTTGTATATACATTTCATATGCTCAGTGTAACAACTTTTATGGGATAGAGGTAGCATTTTAGATTATATATAATCTTTGTTCTAAAATATTTGTTACATTTGCATACATATCTTGTACAATAAATGTATCAACCATTATGGGACAGAGCTGGTATTTTATCTTGTATTTATTAATATTTCTGTCCCATAGTAATTGATACATTTGCATACACATTTTCTACGATCAACGTCACAACTATTTTGGGACAGGGATTGTACATAATATTATGTGACCTCTGTCCCATAAAAGCTGATACATTTGCTGACACATTTCATATGCTCAATGTAACAACCATTATGGGACAGAGGTAGTACATTATATTATTATTATCTGACCTCTGTCCGATAATCATTGATACATTTGCATACATATTTTCTAAACTTAGTGTAACAACTATTATGGGACAGAGGTATTATTTTTTTAAGAATCCATCTTTAAATAAAAACTTATTGAGATATTTTTGTTTATTTTTATTCTTTAATCTTGTCTCCCCCCCGATTTATTAATCTGTTTTTTATCATTTTCATTAACTAATTGTTTTGTCTCCAGGATTGTAGCTTCTAAAACAATGGCCTGTTTTAAACTTTATTTTTTTTTCCAAATCTAGTTTTTTTGTTTTTGTTATTGTGTAAAGCTATTTCCAGCTTAAAAACCAAAACCAAATCTTTCTTTTGACTAAGCCTTAAAAGAGAACTCCTCATTATCTTTTCTGCAAGCAGACACGGAATCGACGGTCTATGTCTGTTGGCATGGTTACCCTGCCGACCATAGACTGTCATTCTTTAACTCAGGAGGATGTGAGTACTTCTTGAAATTGTTTCCAATTGCATGATATTCTCTTTTCACATGACGTGTGTGTATATGTGTGTGTGTGTATCTGTTCACTCCATTCATGCATGTGTCAGTTGGTTCCATTTTCTGCTTTTCATGTCTGTCTTAAACAAGCAATGGATTTTTATTTTTATTTTCTAGATATTGAGACTCATTGAGTTTTTCAGATTAACATTCCATCACAACAGAACACAGATTTTATCACAGTTACAATAAGTTTGTCTTTGTAATTTACCCCTGAAGATGATCTTAAAAAAGGTTGAAAGTACTTGGGTTAAAAAAAAAAAAACAAATCATGTCACCTTCTTTGATGAATAGACAACTGGAAAAGATCAGTATTAAAATAAGTAGACACAATGAAACATATTTAAATGAAGATGTGCTGCCTATATATATATATATATATATATATATATATATATATATATATATATATAACATTAAGTCAACATTCAGAGGTGGCAGACTATTTCATGCTAGACATTTTCATCAGGCCACATGTGTTGGTTTTTTTCTCGACGATATATACGGATCAGTGGTGCATTGTGGGTAGTCCATACTAACAGTTATTTTGGCAAAAGTGGTTAAAATAAATAAAAAACAAGTAAAATAAATTAATCCAAATGAATAAATAAATAAGCAAACCACTCCCGCCAAAATAACCATTAGAATGGACTACCCACAATGCACTACTGACCTGTATATATATAGTCAAGAAAAAACTCAAAACATGTGGCCTGATGATTGCATCTAGCATGAAACAGTCTGTCACCTCTGAGTGTTGACTTCAATGTTCATTTTTATATTTACATATACTCTATCTCTGATATTGAGCACTTTATCCCATAAATATAGCACACCTTAAACAATATTCCTTTTATTTATATATTTTTATATATATATATATATATATATATATATATATATATATATATATATATATATAAAAAAATAGGAAAGAACTGGTTAGGTAAATAATCCAAAGTTCCTTAGTATTTTAGTTATTATTTTAAAAAAATAGTGCTTGATACAAAAGTAGAACATAAATATAATTATTTATTTAAAAATATGATTCCAACTCTCGACATAATTTCAATTATTAAAACATGTAAATTTCAAAAATAAGTTATTCCCCAAAAAATTTCGCTTGAAGATGGAACAGAGCTTACTTTAACTCAATTTAATTCAAATAATTATATTGAAGTTTGCGGTTCTTGTTTTGAAACATGAGACCTCTTATGTCGCGAGTTGGAATCATATTTTTAAATAAATAATTATATATGTATATATATATATATATATATAATATGATTTTATTGTTTATCAATTATTTGCTCTGTAATAATAAATATACTGAGCTCTTTTTGTGGATCAGTTTTAATATTTTATATTACTAGGATCCACTTGGATTATATAATAATGGATTTGTTACCTTTACTATGTGTATATACACACACACACTGTCTCTCAGAATTAACTAATTCAATGAAATTGGGCAAATTTGAAAAAAAGCTGACACAATTTTATGTTTATTATTTAATTATGATACGAAACAAATAGATTTATAAATCTTATGTCAAAACTTTATTGTAAATTTTCAAAATCTGCTCTGTCTGCATATCAACAAATTTCAGATCTCTCCTTCGCATTGTGAAACACATTTTGAAGCATTTCAGGAGTTATCTCCTTCTGCATTGATTACTGAAGGTCTTCTTTTAAGCTCAGCTAAACTATTGATCTTTTGGCGACAAACCTTTTGTTTTTATGAAACCCCATGGAAACAAATCCTGTGGTGGTCAATAGTGATGCGTTCTTGTGTATTTATTATTAATAGGATTCTGAAAGGGAATAAAAATAATATTAGAAAGAAAATTCTCAAGTTCTGAACAAAATTACAAATTTATACAAACCTCCAACACATCTGAAATATGATGAACAAAAATAAATGTCAGTTTTTAAAAAAAATTGTCCGATTTCACTGAAATAGATGATTAATAATGGTACACCTTGTATATAATAGGACTGATATTCAAACTTAAAATGATTACTTTGTTACATCATTTTACTTAAAATTATTTCTACATGACGCATAAAATAGTCAGTGCATTATTTAAACCAATTAGTCGTAAATAATCAAAATTGCCTTTTTATAGGCATCTTATTATCAACTAAGACTGTCTGTTTTTTTTTGTTTTTTTTTACTTTTACATAAGTAGTGAAGTAATCATTCTAAGTAACAGGTTAATCGAAATAAGTGCTGCATTATTGATTGTGATATTTAAGTCACTGTCTGTCCAGAATATTCCATTTTGTTGTTTTATCTAATGAACCAATGAATATTTATTGAAGCCAGACAGTATTGACTCAATGGCTTTCAGTAGGAATTGGGTTAGCTTGAAAGATGAGCTGATTAAAAAAAAACAAAAAAAAACAAAAACGTAACAACACTTGGAGTCTCAGTTCCTAAGGGACAATAACTTGGTGAGTTAAAGCATTGAATCATGAATTTGGTGACTTAGTAATAGTGAGTTCAATCCCTGGGCTGGTAGAAAAAGGGAAGCAATAACTGAGCAGTACTAAAAATAAGAAATAGACAAGATATCCTGAGACGTTGTCAGTGGGACAAGAAGTCTACACTCTTAGATTAAATAAAGGGTTCAGTTCAAAATTAGTAAAATTAATTGTGAGTTCAATCATTGTGTTGGGCATTGTGTTCTTAGACACTGTGGAAACAGGGCAGCAATAACTGAGCAGTTCTAAAAATAAAGACTAGACAAGGTTGCTCAGATGACATTCACCTGATGAAGGCTGGAGGGCATAATGTTTAAAATGTAATAACAAAAAGAAGGATGTAAATGATATAAAAAAACTGCAATATTGATTGATTGATTTATTTACTATGGTTTATCAATCTATTGCAGGTTATTTAAAGCCAGAAAATATTTTTGGATTGTAAAAAAAAATTTTTTTGTTTTTATAGATAATAATAGTAATTAACCCAAAGCTGGAGAAAGAAGAGGTGGATTTATACCTTTCCCTAGGTTATTTATATATAAATGAATATAATTAACCCAACAAGAATTTGAACTCTGCTCTCCAATTAACAATTTCAAGCCATTAACTGTTACATCACCCAAGCTTACAGCACCTGGTATTCTCAAGTGATCATATATCTAGACATTAACCAGGCTAGATGTTGCTGAATTTGGGTGATTATATGGAGACCAGTGTTTCAACATAATATGGCCATCAGCCTGGTTTTGAATGTAAACATATTTTTGGCACAATGCATTTTTTTAGTCGCTTGTAGGGTTTTTGGTCCCATGCAAGCCATAGAAAATTAGAGGGAACATTGTCTTTATGTAAACTATCCTTGTATTTGGGATTAGCTGAAGTTTTTTTTTTTTTTTTTTTTTTTTGTCTGTTTGGGGTTTCTGCTTTCTAAGTCCAGAAGGGTAGTGCCTTGCCATTACTAACCAAAGAATTTGTGGTGGAGTTTTTCTAAAGAAAAAAAAAATAAAATTATGGAATGTCAATCTGAAGAAATCAATAAGTGAAAGAAGCTTAATATTTTTTTTTTTTTTTTTCATTCAATCTGATGATACTAAATCAAGAACGATAATTCTAAATCAAGAACGATAATTCTTGATCTTGGTTTCAAATTGGATAAAAATGCCTTTTTCATTCTCCTTTTTATTCAAGATTTTCATTTACATGTTCTGCTTCTTTTAAATTGTATTATTAATGCTTCTAATATTAAAATAATTTAATAATCTGTAGAAATATAATTCCCTTATTAAATTGTAACTGTTTCTTTGTTTTTTAACATTAATATAAAATAATACAGATAATGATGGGATGCATTATCCTGTGATAATGTAAAAAGATTGTTAGCTCACAAGATTCAAAGTTTATTAATAGGTTTAAAACACTGTCCCATACACACACACACACACGCACACAGGAAAATACTTGTTGACAACATCAATATACTATACCATGAAAATAATAAAGAAAAACTCGAGGCCCTCTATATCAAAACAACCAACCAACACTCAACAAAATTTATTGTGAATATAGCAGCAATATATTAAACTGCATATAACAAACGTTTAATGCTAATTTGCATTTTGACCAATTTCGGGTTAACTTCCTTATATTGAAATGCTTGTTTTGCAAAAAATTCCATAGCTACTATGGATAAATTAAAAATATTAAAATAACTTTAATGAAACATGTTTGCACATGCATTTAAAAATTACTATGACAATGAAATGCAGATTTTATTGCAGTTACAATAAGTTTGTCTTTATAACCAGCCTGTGAAGATAATCAATAGAACTTGGGTTAACAAAAACTACAGCACCTTCCTTGATAAATTTCATCTTAACATCAAGAAACTAAATAGACAACTGGAAAGAATCAGTATTAAAATAAGTAGACACAATATGTCTATATTATTCACTGAAATATGTTTGAAGATATGCTGCCTAAATATACATACACACACATATATTTCAACAACTTAGACCCAAATAAAAAAAAAAACTTGTGAGAAAGCAAGAAAAAAAGAGAAAAAAGATTATTAAATGGAAAAATTTGATAGTCTTTAACAGCACATGCCTTTTATATATATATATATATATATATATATATATATATATATATATATATATATATAGTGTATTTAGGCAGCAATCCTTCATTTATACATGTTTCATTAAAGATGACAGACAAGGTAGTACGATTAAGCTTTTTATTTAATTTTTCTTGTGTTTGAACAAGTGTTTTTTTTTTAATTTTTTTTTTTCCCCGCACAGAGTGTGTAGAAACTGTTCAAATGTTCTATAATTCTGAGTGCTTTCGGCTATACATTTAGCCATTATCAAGGATGATGTTATTTTTGCTTTTTAATTGGGTCTGGGTCTCTCTCTCTCTCTCTCTCTCTATATATATATATATATAT